CATACCGACTGCTAGCTCGAGAGCTGGGCCCTCTCTATACCAACATCACGGCAGACATTGGAACTGACCCTCGGGGTCCCCGGGTTCCCTCTGGTCCCCGTTACCCACCTGGCTCCTCCCAGGCCTTCCGTCAAGAGATGCTACAGCGCCGGCCCCCAGCCAGGCCTGGGCCTCTGCCTGCTGCCAACCACACAGCCCCCCGGGGCTCACACTGACTCTTCCTGTCTGCGTTGGTCACGAAACCGGATCAAAGGGGTTGGACACCCCACCCTTGCTCCTCATTGCTCTTAGAGGGACGTGGGGGACCGACTAGTCCTGTGCTACGGGCAGGTGCCTCTCCTCACTGCTGGACTGAAGCTGGGCTCCTCTAGACCTGGGGGTTCCTCTTTCTAGGGGCACCTGCCAGGTCTTACAACTGTGAATCCTCGATGTCATGATTTTATGTGATGACTCCTGGCAGTCCCCTGTCCCCAGAGTAGGAGCAAGGCTGGACCCCAAGTCCCTCCTCTTCCTCGGAGAGAAGAGACATCTGGCTTCTCCCGGGACTTCTGTGAATATTTATTCTATTTATGGTTCCCGGGATGTGCATTGGTGAAGTAAGCCACTCCCTGGAGACCTTCTACCCATGCTGGAGTAGCTGCCTCTTCTGGACCTGGCTCAGGGGCTGGGGTTTTGATATATTTTCTAATAAAGGACTTTGCCGCGCCTCTGTTCCTGCTTCCTGCTCCCCAGGCACCCTGGCTGGTCTCTGCCCCCACCCCCGTGCTGAGGACAGAACAACCAGACTGAGCCAAGCTCTAGCAATTTTTATTTCCATGGGTGAGAGACTCCCAGCCAGCAGGGGCAGGAAGAGGTGGGTGTGGGAATCAGCTGTCGGGTTCCAAGCCCAGGGCCCGGGCAGCAGCCCGGCGCCCACTCTCTATACAATCATTGAGAGCAACTCCCTCGTAAGAGGCTCCAGCCAGAGTCAGGGGCAGCCTGTGAGCAGCCAGGAAATGGGAAGCTGACTCTGGAAAGGACAAAGCAATGTCACCGCCGGGGGGTCTGACTTCCTTGGCTGTCCTCAGCCCAGCTGCTCTCCCAACTTACCCAGTTTTTTCCAGTGGCCTAGTGTATACTGGGGAATGCAGTTCTGGGGAGAGGAGAGGAGATAAAAGGAAGAGTTTATTACTAATGTCACAAGCCTTGGTGGGTAATAACAAAAATATCAGTCCCTGCCTTTGACACCAACAGCGGGCAGCCGAGGGGCAACTTATTCCAACTCACCTTGTGTAGATGGACCAAGCAGTGACTTGGTGGCTCTTTTAGTCCTAGCTGTGTGGCAGCTGCTTCCTGGGCCTTCTGTTGGAGCAGCTCCTGAGATGAGGCACAGCCCCCGGCTTTCAGCGTTTGCAACCAGGAGCCTCCCAGCATCACCTAGACAGAGGGCATGGCACCGACCTACACTGGGCACAGGGGAGCCGTGGAAGTCCCCCCAGGCAAAGCTGTCCCTCTCACAGTCACTCGGAGGCCAGGGGGGCTGCCGTCCTGCTCCGGGAAAGCTACCGAGTCGTACACGATTCCCAGGGTGCCTGGGTCTTCTGAGGACGGCACCAAATGTCCAAACCCCTGAGAAAAAGAGGAGATGGTCGGGGGGGCGGTTTCCAGCTGGGCCCTTGTGTCTCCCCTCCTGTGTCACACCTGGACAGGCAGATGGTCAGGAGGGGGTGGGTTTCCAGCTGGGCCCTTGTGTCTCCCCTCCTGTGTCACACCTGGACAGGCAGACGGGCTCCTTGGTACTGCAGGTTCACCACAGCTACCGACACCGCAGCGATGGTGGCCAGGACACGCGCCAGAGGTGCAGCCTCAGCAGGGAGCAGCTTGCTGAGCACTGGAGGGAGCCAGCAGAGGCCTGCTCAGGAGGCATTCCTGCCGCCACTTCATCCGCCCTCCTCGGGACTGGCCTCCTGCAGGGTGGTCAATGCAGGGGCACGGGCCCAGAAACCTACAGCCAGCCTCACCCCAGCTGGGGAAGGGGAGGGCAGCTACCCCATTACCTGAAGCTGGAACGGCACTAATAACATGGTCAGCCTCCAGGCAGCTGTCCCCTAGAGACACCTGGAAGGATGAAAACATTTGAGACAAACAGAGGTAACGGGAATCTTGCCTCAGCTCCCTGGGCACCCAAGTGGCAGGACAGCCCGTGTGGCTAGCACAAAGATCACCCCATGTTACTCCTGGAAGTGGGGCAGACAGGCCAGTGTGTCTGCTCTGAGCCGCTTAGTGGGGCTGGGATGCTCCTTCCCCGATCTGTCAGCCACTCGCGTTAACAGTACTACTATCCCTGGGCTTGCATCAAATGGGTCTTGGAGGAAGGTCCACAAATACAGCCCAAGAACCACAAATAAGGCCCATATTTAAACTGCTAGGGCAGGAAAACAACAAGCAACTCCGGCCCTGCCAGCCCTGACCTGGCTGCAACACTCGGGCAAAGATGGGAGCTCCAACAGAAGGTTCATCACACTCCAGGGGCTCTCCCACCTTCCAGCGTCCTTCCGCCTGGAGGCTGAGCCCACAGACCGGCTGGCCTCTGAGCACAGTGACCCCTCCGCTGGTCAGGTGGGTGGTGAGCGCCTGGGGCAACATCTCCAGCCCTCCTCGGAGAGACCACTGACTCCAGTGCTCAGCACGGGCCCGGCGTACAAGCCCTGAATCAGGCTGTGAGCTCTGTCCTGCAGAGGAGGAGGCAGAGAGGAGTCAGAATAGCTTTCCTCACCCCTGCAGTCCTCAAGGCCATGCCCCTGAGCCATGCTCCCCTCACCTGCCCCCAGCAGCAGCCCCAGTAACACAGAGCGATGGGTTCGCTCAGCTTGGAAGAGACTGGGAAAGCAAGACCGCACGCTGAGCTCACGGCTGCTGCCAGCAAACACTCCACGGCAGAGGCTGTCCATGGCCAGAGATGCCACCTTGGGGGTGAGACTGGGACTCAGAGACCAAGGAATAAGCCGCCCTGAATTTCTCTGCCTCTGCCGGCAGGCGTGAGGCGGGCCGGACATGGAGGCCTGGCTGGGAAGCAGCTCCACGGTCACAGGAGGATGAGGAAGAAGGCATTCCCCCCGCCCCCCCGCCCCCCAAGTCGTGGTGACCACTGGGCACGAAGAGGCAGAGAGGGCACTCCCGAGGAACACAGAGGAGCCCCAGGTGGTGGGGGCTCCACAGCTGGTTCAGGAGGGAGTTGGGGGGGCCTCTGGGCAGGGTCACCTCCGGTCCAAGGCGGCGCTCAGCAAAACTGTGCACAGTCTCGTCAGGGTCTTTGCCACGGGGTGCGGTCAGCTCCCTCAGCCCAGCCCAAAACAGAGGTCTGGAGAAGGGCGGCGAAGTGCGGAGCAGCCCCCTGCGTGGAGGGAGGCCCGTGAGGAGGGCGCTGCGACTCTGCGCCGGCTCCAGGGCTCGTGCCATTCCCTTGGCCCCTCCGGCCTGGGACCGCTGCCAGAGGAGTGACGAGCGCGGCGAAGGGGCGGGAGGACGGGCGGGGCGGAAGGACGGGCGGTCAGGGGTGGTCACCTGAGGCCGGAGGGCAGGGCATGCAGCGCGCCGCCTGCATACAGGAACCTGTTCCGGGCAGCTGGATGGTCCCCTCGGACAGGTAGCACCTCCGAGTCCAAGCCCAGCTCGGAAACCTGCTTCCCACACGCCCTCGGGCAGAGGAGCAACTAAGGAAGGGCCTGACCGAGCACACCTCCTTGCCCGCCCTGCCCTCTCAGGGACCCCCACGCTCGGGGCGGCCCGCCGCCTCTCACCAGGAGCAGGGTCCGCGCTCCCAGCGCTCCTGCCGCCCGAATTCCTCGAGGCCCAAGTTCGAACACAGCACCGCCGGGCCCTCGGACGGAGCGGACCCAGCCTCCCAGGCGCTCGCTGCCTTCCACCAGGACCACCTGGGGCAAGAGGGGCGGAGGCAGCGCACTCCCACTCGCCGCCGCCGGCGGGCTTGGAGAACAGAGGAGGCTCTTTGCAGCACGTGGCACTCACCTTGGGGGGACGCGCAGCCCGGCTCAGGTGGTAACTGGCGGCCAAGCCGCTGATGCCTCCGCCCAACACGACCACAGTCCGGCCCATGGGGAGCCTGGGCGGGGAGGGCGACGCGCACAGGCTGGCCCGGGCGCCCTCTCTGAAGAGTCCCACTGGCTCGGCGCTCCAGCCCCGGCCCCTCCCTGTTTTCTGGGAAACTAAGGCAGAGCCCGCGGAGCGGGTGGTGGGAGCGCGAGGACCCCGCCCCGGGGCGCAGGACTCGCCCACCAGACGGACGAGATAAGGCGAGAGAAGGGCCGCTGCAGGCCCACGGGCTTCCCGCTCAGCTCCGCCGGGAGATACGGGCCGCACCCGCGCTATCTGCGCGCAAGGCGCGGCCCCCACCCTTCCCCGCGCGGCCCCGGCGCAGCCGCCCGCCCCCCTCCCCGACCCTGCGGCCCCTCCGAGGCTCTGCCCGCCGCGCAGTCGCGCTGCGCTCGCGCCGGCGCAGCGTCCTCCGCTTCTGATTGGCGGATCCTGGAAGGCGCGGATGACGCTCGCCAATGAAAACCCCGAAGGGGCCGGCCCGGCGAGGGACGGCGGCAGGTGACCCGACGGTGCGCTGGGGGGCGAGCGGCCGGTTTTGGCTCCGCGTCCCTGGGCCGGGCTGCCGAGCTGCGAGCCGGTCCGGTCTACCCGCCTTGGCTCCGGGCCCAGCCTGGTGAGAGTCCCGAGGGCGGCCCCTCGCGCCTGCGCTGTAGGGAGTGGCAGGGGACCCGGAGGCTGGCCCGCGGGGACCCTGCTCCATAAACAGCTCCTGCTGTTAGCGACGGCCCGGGCCTGCGGGAGCCCGGGCCGCCGGGCAACGCACCCAGTGTTTGTCAACAGGGGTCCTGGGGTGCCCGGCCCCCAAGGGCAGCCCCCTTCGCTGGCACGAGTCTCACGTTTGTCTCGGGAGGACTCCAGTTCGGCCCACCCCCAGGCACAAGTACAGAGAAGGACATCAGTTTTTCTTAATAAATTTATTCACAAAAAGTGAGATTGTATAGTCCGGGGGGCTGTACACGGGGGCGGGGCTGGGGGCCTTTGTACACGGGGCTGAGAGACAAGGGGACCTCCGGGTGGAAGGGTACTTTTGAATAAAAAAAATAACGGGAGCTACAACCACCCTCCCTCCTCCCCATTAAAAAGACACAAAAATAGACGTCTCTGAGGTAAGCGGGGAGCCTGGGGCCGAAGGGTCTTGAACAGGTTTCACAGGTGCCGGGGTCTGAAGGGCGTCACAGGCCCCGGGGCGGCTCCTGCGTCAGCTGGTAGAAGAGCACGTAGCCCTCACTGGAGGCCACCTGGTTCTCACTGACGGGGGAGACGCTGGGAAGGAGGGGGAGGACGCGGTCACTCCTGCCCACCAGGTGGGCCTCCCACCGCCCCCGGGAGGGAACCAGGAGCCAGCCCCTCCTGGGCACTCCGCCCTCCTGGGGCTTCACAGCAGGGACGTGGGGGCTGTGCTCACCGAGAGTCATTGTAGACGTGCCAACCAGTCTGGCACCGGCACAGGGCTGTGTAGTGGCCGTAGTGGACGCTGCCCGAGTGGTTGCAAAGGGCGTACAGTTGGTATGTGGGGCTTCCTGCGGAGTCAGAGTCCCTCCATTTCCAGTCACGGCTGCTGGCTCCCACTCTTCTCCCTCCCTCCGGGCGCTCCTACGACCCTCCCCACCGGACTCACCGGCTTTGTCACTGGCGAAGTCCCCTAGGCTCAGTCGCTGCAGCGGGAAGTCCACACCTACGGAACTTTTCTTGATGGAGCCTCGGGAGGTGGAAAATCGGTTAAGATCTAAGCCCTGGTTAAGGAGCATTTGGAGGAGGCCGAGGGCCTTAGAGGGGACTGAGGTCTGGAACGCAGTCCACTCCCCTCCCGAGTGGTATCAGGAGCTTGCAGGGGAGGGCGGAGGGTTCCTAAGGGAAATTCAGTTCCCAGATATCCAGCCTCCGCAAAAGTGGGCAGTGAGAAAAAGTGGGTGGAAGAAACAGCATTTGAAGATTAGGATACGGAGCACGAGGATCCGGGGGAATCTCTGTACTGTCAACTTTTTGGTACTTCGTGTTTTCTGCCGACACCGATCACACACCTGAATGAACATCAAATAGCCTAGGTTACTGTGCTCCTCACCTCGAAGGGCTTTTCCAGCACTGGGCACACACATCCACTATGTCCCCCGCAGTTCTGTGGCCTCTGGGCCCCCTCTGCCTACAAGTACAAGGGCTGACCCGAAACAGCAACACAAACCCAGGCATGTAAATGCTGTCCTGCAGAGTAAGGCCACATGCACCCCCTTTAATCCATATGGAGCCCCCAGAACCCCCTCACTGCATCTCATCTGGACCACACGTACGGGGGCGTTTTCCGACTCGAGCTCTTCTTCCTTGGTGAAGAGGCTGAAACAGTCCCGCAGAGACACCTTGCCCCCAGCAAACCCTTTCTGGAGGGAAAGGGAAATGAACGGAGCGTCAGCTCTGGATTTCCTTTTCCAGCTCTTCTCACCCAATCCCAGCTTCAGTTCTGCTCCAGAGACCCAAAGGGCTCCCTCCCACACTCCAGGGGTGGGCAGGGTTGGGTCATTGAACCCATGTCTCATCCACCCCGGAATCCTCTGGAATCCCACCTTGGGGATGGGCAGGGACAGGTCACAAAAAACCTCGAAGGTCGTGGAGCGATACCCACAGGCCTGGCACTTCAGACAACTTTTCAACTGTCCCACAAACAGGTCTAGACAGAAGCGAAGACAAGAGAAAGTCACTGCGGGCAGCTGAGACACCTGCTTGGACTGTCTCTTCCCACCCTTTACCTGACCTTCCTTTTCCGCACCACCACTTCTAACAAGGCCTCACACCTTTCCCACATTTTTGCCCCGCAGCTGGTTCCCAGATCCCCTGGCAGTATCACTTTCTTTCTCCCAAGCTGGCAACCACCACCCCACACCCTGCTGCTGTGCCCTGCTCCCTACCCACAATCTTGCTGTCCTCCCGCTCCAGGTAACGCTTCCACATCAGGTTGGCCCGGTCATCGTCACTGCAAGGGGAAGGGAGATGGGGAGTGCTGTGAGACAGCAGGAACGCTGGGCACCCAAACACCACCAAATGGTCTGCAGGGCCCTGGGCCCCACCCACACCTCAGCTCCTCTAAATTTTAAGGCACAGTCAAAGGAGTAATGAATGCGTCAGACGACTTTCTGGGAAAGCCACGATGGGAGGGGGAAAAAAAAAAGAGTGCGGACAAGGGAAGAACACGCTGTCTTCCTCCATTGGGCTCCAAACCTTTCATGTGCCTTCTTGTAGTAAACTAACGACCCCCTCCTCCCTCAACACGGTGACACCCCTGCACTGCCCTCTGCCTTCTCCTGCTCTCTGCCCCTCGCTCTGCCCTGCTTCTCAGCCCACTCTCTAGCCCATGCACTTCCCCGGACCCTCCGTCCGCACACTCAATTGGCTCTGTTCTGTGAAGGAAGAATGCTGCTGGTGAACTACCGAGGAGAAGGGGAGAGGCGCACCCTCACCTCAAGTCCGGCTCCTCCAGCAGAGCCCCACCACGGCGCGGTGCAGAGGGAGCTGGGCTGTTGGCCAGGATTGCTGGAGCCCGGCGGCCTCGTCGGTTGATTTCAAGGTGTAGCCGCTCCATGAGGAGCTTCAGAAACTCCTGAGCATCCTGCTGGCTACAGCCAGAGAGTATAGGCAAGGGACCCATCCCCCAGTCCATGGACGCCACACCCCACCAGACACAGGTCCCCACTCCCTGGATGAAGAACACCTCAAGGCTCAGAATGATGCTGCCAGGACCCTGCTTGGCCCTACCCCAGACACGGCCAGAGAGGAATCCCATACCCTCCAGCTCTCCCACCTGTAACCAGAGAAAGAGGGGACGTATTTCTGGAAGACGGCTCGGAATCGAGTAGGGTTCACAGCTTCACAGGAGTCGGGGTGCCACAGGGCACCAATCACATCCGCAAAGGCTATTAGGGTGGGGACAGGGAAGGGAAAGGAAGGTTAGTGGCCGGAAGAGGTGAAAGGAGAAGAGGCTCAGAGGTGGAAAACCACTTTACAAAGTTGGCACCGGGAAAGATGCAGTGCCAGACTTGAGGGCTGGGGCTTCCAGCACTGGGAGTTGGACCCGCGAGGAGTTGGGGAGAGGAGGGCTTAGAAGTGGGGACAGGGGTTGCCGCCCCACCTTCAGTGAGCTCTTGGGCTCGGCCCCCTCCAGGCACCTCTTGCCGGAAGTCCCTTCGCAGACAGAAGTCCCGGAGAGGCCGGGTGCTGCTCAGACACTGCAGCACGGCGTTCAGGAAGCACTGGGGAGCAGCAGAGACACCCCGTTACCCCTCCGGACCAGCATCCGGGAAGCCTTGAAAGAGCTTCAGGGCTCACCCTCCCCAGGCAGCAAGCTCCCACCCGCAGCACTGTTTCGAAGGCCTGACAGACGGGGGCATGGGGCGGTGCTCACCGTGTTCCCCAGGTTTCGGAGGCCCACGTGCCCAGAGCCCAGGAGCAGCGTGTGGTGAGCCTGGAAGGCCAGAGCGCCGTCAGCGGCTTCCACACGCCCATCCCGCACTTCACCCCAACACTCCCCACCTCCCCTCTCTGGTGTCAGGGTCTCCGTACCTCACTGGCCATGAGCAGCAAGCCCATCACAGCTGAGTGTACCATGGACTCGGCCACGGCGGTCCCGCCTGCTCCCCACTTACTCCTCTGCCCAGCTAGCCGGCGCTGCAGCTCCTGGGGCAATTCCCCAAGCACTGGCATGGTTGCCCAGCTGCTCCCCACCCCCACCCTGCTGCCTCCAAGGCCCCCTCCTGCCCCCGTGGCCCCTTCCTGCACACTTTCCCGATGGCTCCCAATGCAGTCAGCCTAGCACACTGGGCTCAGGAAATGGGCAACCACACTAGCTCAGATCTTCCGAGCCTGCCCCTCCTCAGCTCCAGAGATTAATTAGGCCTAGGCAGGGTCCTAGGAGGGAAGGCGTGGCAAGTGAAAGGGAGGGCCTGGGGGGCCCAAAGGAGAATTCCAAATGGCTGGGTGAATTTGCTGGGGACTGTGGTGGCACACCAGGCTGGGGGTTGACAGACAACCCCGAAAGGGCACTTAAGTAGGGGAGAGGATAGTCCAGAAGCTGTAATGAGAGGCTAAGAAAGGAACCTGGGAAAAGAGGAGGAGAAAAGCCATATGATGACAAGAAAGCTGGAGGAACGTGGGCATGGAAGGCCACGCGGGGTGGCAGGCAAGTCCTCACCATTTTGTCATTGGAGTAGAAAGGCTCGGAGGGCCGGGCAGACACCACGTGGAAGGTGCCATGGGAAGCAGGGGGCTCCGTCCGTATGCTGAGCAAGGTGGGAGGCCCAGGAAAGCCCCCGAGGCGGCGGAGAGAGGTGCTACGCCTCAAAGCGGGTGGCTCAGGCCTGAGTGCCAAGCGGCTCAGTGCAGCCCCGAGCTCTCCGGCGCCTCGGTGCCCTCCCAAGGCAATGCCCATCGGACGCAAGTCCCCACTGCTCACAGACTTGGAACGGGCTAGGTTGGTCCTGGGTGGGGGCAGAGCCACAGCCGGGGGTGGTGAGCCAGGCAGGGGAACTCCATGATCTGCCCGAAGGGGGCCTCTGGGACGAGGGCCAGAGGTCCGTGCCCGCCCCAGCTCCATCTTCTTCAGCCGTTCCTCGGATGGGCCTGGCCGGGGAGGCAGAGGCCTTAACATTGGGTTCGGCCCAGAGGCTGGGTTTCGGCGCTCCTTGCTGCGGGCCCGGGGGGCAAACGGCAGTTTGGATCCCACTCGGGGTTGGACATTGACAGGTGGCTCTCGGGCCCGGCCCAGGCGGTGCTCAGAGGCCTGGGGCATTGTGGACACCACAGAATGGACCTGGGAGAAGAGAGGGTCAGCATATGAGCATGGACGGAAGATAGGCTGCCATCCTAGCTGCTACATGCACTGAAGGCAGGAACCATGCCTATCACATCAGTCTCTGTATCCCCGGTACCTAGTGTAATGCTCGACACAAAGTAAACACTTAGTATTCACTGACCAAATGAATGAGAGATAGCAGCAGCCCGGGGCTTTGACTAGATATCCTTCACCACCTTCCTGCAGAAAACAGCTTTACTGAGAAGCCAATGACAGCCCCAATCTCAGCTGTCCTTATCACCTGAACGCTGGAGACAAGGGCCGCATACCTGGGGAGTCCAGTGGGATGCGCCCTGAGTCCCTTAGGCCCTGTGGTCAGTGTGGGGGCAAAGACAGCAGCCAAGAAGACAGCATCCCACCCTCAACCCTGCTCCTCCGGACTGCAAAGGAAGCCGAATAAACGGGTGACTTGCGACTCCCTACCCCCGCTTGAGCTCCAATGTGGAGTCGGGGATCAGGGGCCGTGGCGAGCGGGAGGGACGGCGGACACTCCCAGACCCGGATCTCTGCACCTCTCGCACAGCGGCTAGGCTGCGGCGGGTCCGCCCCCCTCGAGGGCAGAAAGGCCGAGGCCGCTGATTGGCTACGGAGTCAGGCGCTTATTCCCCGCGGCCCACGGACGCGGTCCCTCCACCCGGGTCTCCCAGGCCTGCCCGGCCCCTGTGCCTCCTCCTTGGTGTAGGGTGTCCTCCCGGGTCCCGGGGCAGTCTCCCCGCGCCCCACGGCGTGACGCCGCGGCCCATACCTGCTCCCGGTGAGAGGCGGGGGAGCCCGGCCGGGGCCAGGCCCCAGCTCAGGCCCGCCCCCCACTGCCCCCAGGTAGCACCCCCGCGGGCCTGGCTGCAGCTTCAGCCGCAGCTGCCGCCCAGGTCTCTCCCGCCGCCGGGGCCGCCGCCATCTTTGTTGGTCCCGCCCGCCACCGGCCGCCGGCTTCAGCGGCCCTCACGGCGCCTGCGCAGCCGCACTCGGAACCCAGCTCCTGCTTCTTCGGCGCTTGCGTGACCCCGCCCCTCGGCTCCGCTGCCGACACCATGGAAACGCAGCCAACTTGAGGATCTCCAGTTCCCAGCCCTACCTAGAACTGTCTTTACACCGTTGCTGCAAACCAAGCCCATGAAGTATAGGGTCTCTTCACCCCATTCTGTGGCCTACAGGGATGTGAATCAGACAAATGTAGCGTAGCCTCCAGGCTTGCAGTGCAGATCCTTCCCAGGGAGCTGCAGGGCATCGGTTCAGCAGCTGGGACCTGCTGGAAGATCCCTGCAGACGGGGAATGGTGGCCCTGCCAAACCTCTTCTCAGGCACCTTGCACGTCAAAGCCTGAGGCTCCCCGCGAATAGACAAAGGAAGAGCTCAGCAGCAGGAAGAGCAGTGAAGCCTTTTCCATTCATTCCCCAGCTCCTAACCAGAGCATCCTCCTCCTGGTCCCTGCCACGCCCCCCGCCCCCCCCCCCCGTCCCTTGCCAAACCCCCTGTCCCCCGCCAAACTAGTACAGTTGTACAGGTGTCTTGGCCAGCTCACCCACGCAGTTGACAGCCACCAATGAGAAACACAGGCCACCAGAGGAAGCAGATTTTATTGATGAATTACCTCCAGAAACCAAAAACACTATGTACCTACTCTCCGTCGCCCCCTATCCTGTCAGGACCTCTCTTGGGGAAGGGATATACACCGGTAATGGACTTCTGCTTTTCCAAAGCGCCGGGTTTTCCCCTCCCCGTGTAGTCTCAGAAGTTCAGTAGCAATACTGATTCCCGCGTCCCCCCACCACCAGTAATGCCTGCTGCGGCTACTTAGTAACAATTGTGGGTGGAGGAGTGTGACGGAAGCAGTTAGATGAGTAAGGAACACACAGGAAAACAGGAACATAGCCTATCAAAGGTCCCTCTGTCCAGCCTCAGTGGCTTGATACTTCAGTTGCATTTCTCCTTATGCTGAATAACGCCTTTCTGAATCAGATCTGGGATCTCCACTGCCAGCCACGGACCCAGCTGCAATACAAGGAGACCCTGTGAGATTACTACCACCTAGGCACTGTGTCTTGTTCCGTCAGAAGCTCCTTCCTAGAGTCTAGAGGAACATGCCCAAGGGAAAACACTGTTCCTTGTTTATTCTTGTTATATCTTGTTATACTGCTCAGGGCCTAACCTTTTTTCCCCCTTATACACCAAATACCCCAGACTTACCCCCAGAGCCATGAGATGAGCTAGTCCAAACTTGGGCACGTTCCTGGCCCACAATGGCTTAAAGTGATCGGTCAGACATATTTTGCCACCCCTATCATGGGGACAAGAGGGAAGAAGGTGTTGACATGCAAGGTTTACCATGAAGTACAGCAGTCTCTGGGGAGCGCAAGACTACTAGTGATCCAAATTGAGAACAAGGTCAGCTAAGTACTTTGCCCAGGCTTGGTAGAGGGAAGCCTGGAGCCCCGCTAGGCCAGTAGGTTCTGGTACAATCCCTGCCTCACAGAGCTCCTCCCTAAGCCCTCCTTTGACCCTCTCCCATCTCCTGCTCAGTCCTACCTGTACATCTTGGCTGTTTTTCCATCCAGTTCAGGGACTGCAATTTCTGGAGCAGTAGTAGGATAAGTGATAGGAATCTGGAGGAATAAAAAGAGAATCAGGATAGAAAGGAACTAATGCAATCAGGCACACATTTCTTGGTTGAACTGTTTGAAATGTTTGGCAAACTCCCCAAGCAGCATGTGCACACCAGGATTCTGGCCTTGGAGATTAGCAACTGTATCCTATGCTTGCTTCACACCTCAGCTTGTCCCTCCCATTTGAAAAGTTTTCTTTGATCCTTTCAAGAAATGTTATTTTGTTAATCATGTAATCCCTTTCCTTCTACTAACCTCCATATTTCTCCCTCCATCATACTCACGTCAAACTCAATGTCAAACTCATATTTGAGGAGATCGTGGATGTACCAGCACTTTCCAAACCACCTATAAAAAAGACTGAATCTTAGTCCAATTTGACTGTTCTTCTCATACTGAAATGATGTCTTCTTGGCTTAGGTGACCAGTCTCCCATGGGAGACTCATGGGATGGGAACTGGGAAACTCAGAAGCTGTGGCAGTGGACACAGCCAATATGAGGCAGGGGAGGCCTGGCAATGAGCTCTGAGACACTGATATGCTAAAGCCATGTAAGATGCCCACCCCAGTACCCGCCAAGAGGGTCTGCCTACCGAGTCCCTTCCTTGTTGGACTCCAGTCGGAACCAATCAGTGTCTGCATTCTTGTTGTTCTCCACATACTAAAAGCAGAGAATTAGGTCTTAGAGGGGGAAGTTGGAACCAAGAGCAGTCCTCCTTCCCTCAAAAGAAAAGTATGTGATTACTTTCTTAGTACATTTATCCAACCTTTTTTATGCTGTAAGCAAAACTGAAGACAAAGCTACATTGGTAAGCAGGAGACTTGCCCAGAGCAGAGAATAGAATGCTTGGATTCCACTCAATTTAACACAAAAGACTATAACCTGGGTTCTCTTATCACTTCTGACAGGGTCTGCCCTCAGCCCACAATTCATTTTATGGGGTACTCCCTCCCTGGAGAACCTCATATAGTCCTGGTTCTGACTAACACCCACATGCTGATGATTTCCAAGTCTTTACCTTTAATCCAGACATTTTCTCCGAGTTTCAGACTCCAGTATCCAACTATATATTGAAATTGCTATCTTCATTTCAAGGTACCTCAAGTGTAGCATTTCCCTCTGTTCCTTCAAACTTGTTTCCCCAACTGCATCAGTCTCAGGTGGCTGCATCAGGGTTCACTTGGTCACCCAGACCAGACACCTGAGAATCATTCTCGACCCTCCCTCTTCTTTACTCTAGCCCACCAGCCCTTCACAATGTCCTGCTGATTTTACCTTCTGAATATTCTTCAAATATATTTCTGCTCTCTACTCTCACTGCAACTAACTGCAGAATTTAGGTCACCTTTCTTTCTCCTGCATTAATGGCAGCCTCCTAATTGATCTCCTACCTTCAATCTTATCCCTGTCAACTCTATTTGTCTCTCTACTGTCGTTGTTATTGGCCTAAATCCAAATATGATCAGGCTATTCCTAGTTAAAGTCCTTTAAAGGTATCCCAAGGCCACCAAGATAAAATTCGAGCTCTCAAAGCGATCTCTCAAGTCTTGCCCACCACTCCCTGCCACATTTTTGATGCTGTAGCAGTTTTGAGCTAGTTGTTTTTCTCCATACATCTCATGGAGTTTCTGGCGTCTTTGCCTTTGTTCATTCTGTCCCTTTTGCCATGAATGTCTTTCTCTTACCCTCATGCTTTATCCAGATAATTTATGTTTAACCTTCAAATCTCAGCTCAAGCACTGACTCTGCCAGGAAGCATTCCCTGAACAGACCCAAACTGGATTAGGTATCTCACCTCCTGCTTCAAAACACTGGAACAGCTTCTCGGCCTCCCTATCCCTTAGGATCCCTTTCCTACCTACTAGATGTACAACAGAGGTCTATTTTATTCATTCATTCATTTTTAGTGAATGAATGCACGCGGCAGGAAACAGAGACCACTGACCACTGAAACTTTCTCCTTAGAAGGGTGGGTGGTTAGCTGATGGCATGGCTAGTTCCTGACAGTGAACTCAGCTTCGCGATTCTGCAACTACCACTTCTTGAATTTCCAGCCCTAATGTGTGTTCCTCCCTCAAGAGTAAAAGGGAGCAGAGAGACGCGGACCCGGACCTAGACCACCTCCTCACATCCAGCAGAGCAAGCACCTGGAAATAGAGGGACACGTCACCTTCCTGGGGACGTATCCCTAAAACAAGTGCTGCTTTCAGCTATAAAGTCTGGTCCGACTGTGGCTCCCAATGCGAGTCTCTTCTGTCGGCTTTCCTCCATCCTCAACCCCAAAGCTCCCAATCCCGCATTTCTCCAGTTTCTGTGAATTTGGGAGTTAAACGTTGAAACCGGAAGTGGCTTCCACACGGAGCCTATTCCTAAGCACACAAGATTACCCGCAACGCTTTTGCGACGCGGCTGGCTGCAGTAGCACAACTAACCCGGATAAGAGACTGATATTCTTCCTTGAGTCGCTGCACCCACAACTCTCGATCTCGAGGTCCAGCGTTAGTCTTCAGCACCGGGATCTCGGACACGATACGACGGGTGGCCTCGTCTGCCATCTTGGACGAGGGCGCAGGAGAAACGCGGAACTGGTTTTACCTGTCGTTTACATTCAGGGCGCCGCCATCTTTACTAAGGGAAGATGAGGCGTTGGGCTGCCTTAACACTTCCTTGAATGCGACTTTTATTTTCCAATAGCGAAGACAAATTTGTCACTTGCTCGTGAGTGCTACGGGAAGAGCAGATGGAAACGGATTCCTCTGTCCTGAATATGGCACCTAGCTGTAAGAAAAAACAAACCGCAGACTGCTGAAAGCGTGACTTCCGCTCATGCTCAGAGAAGTAATCACGGAAAACGCTTCCGGTCACCTCCCCAAACTTGGAGAGTTGGTAGAATTTCAGGCCGTTCGTTCTAGGCTCTGTCCAGGCACTGTCCTCCTGAAATGCACGATTTACGTGTTATCGTATCGAATAGCTCCCTTAGCTTCCAAGTAATCGGCCTGAGGGAGCAGGGCCAACTTAATAGTATAGCGTGCGGTCTCGCCCCAAATAATTAACACAGTCGAATTAGGGAATTATTAGTAAGTGCCAAAGAGTTGAGAGGTCACAGGAAGACGTAATTAGTCTAGCATAGACATTTTTTTTAGTCTGGAATTAACCCATCTAGGATGGAATCATGTCTCTATCTCTAAGGCATGACACACAGTAGGTACCCAGTAATCTTGGAGAATTTTGTATCTTCCAGATGGTTTTTAGAATCTAAAAACCGCATGGATTTTGGCTTAAATTTACATATCTTGTTTACTTTGTTAATCGTTCTAGCATGTAGCA